ATAGACTCCGTAGTTAGTCTATTCCAAAACTTGAACACAGCTCTCATCCTCAACGTACTCATCTATGACACAATTTTCAACCCGATTATCAAAAACTGTTATACCAATAAATGAATCTCAGGTGTTCTTTCTTGAATTTAAAAATAAATGGTGATTGAAAGTAGGAAAAAAGGCAAGTGCCAACCTTACAATATGTATAAGCTAACCCGATAAGGAATAGTTATATGTTCCTTTGAAATTGATAAGTCACACTTATTTCATAATTTAAAATTTTCTAAGAGCAATAAAGCATAGATTTTTGAACAAAACATTTCAAACGTATCATAAATTCATCATTTTGTTGAAACTATAAAAAACTTGCCATGCAGTAGAGAATCCATTTAAAATCATAAATAACAATGTAAACATTTAATTTTGACAGTTTCAGTAGACCTTTGAATACAATTTTAATATTAACAGCTGGTTCATTATCCATATGGTCGAAATCTAAACAAAATTGCAGAGTGAACTTTAAAGGCCTCTGGGGCAGAGCCCCAAGGAAATTTACATCGTTTCTCTTTTGAGGGCTCACCTACAGACCAATACCTTTCTTTAGACACCCCTACCAAGTTTCTACGCCCAGCCGTTCTCTCAAATTAGCTGTGACAAAAACCTCGTTTTCCTCCATAAGAATAACATGGGATGGGAATTTAAAGGCCACTGGGTCAGAGCCCCGAGGGAATTCTCAATGTTTCTCTTTTGATGGCTCATCTACAGACCAGGACCTTTATTTAGACACCTCTACCGAGTTTCTACGCCCAGCCGTTCTCTCAAAATAGCTGTCACAAAGAAAAACAGTTTCAAATTAATATATAGACTAGTGTACCTGTTGCTCAAATTTGAGCAATTGCGAAGCATTAAAGGCGTTATTTTAAAATAATTTCCGATGACTTTATAAGAGTCAACTCAAAGATTATAGAAATACTCAAGATGTACACAACAGTTAGATATAATTAAAATTGTTTGTAAATATCTTATCTTTTTTCAAAAGCTTACTTTGTTTTTTAGTGTTTTCTAGAAATGCAATAACCATCTACAATCAGCAAAACCCATTGCAAATACTTCATTTTGACAAATTTAGTAAATCACAATTTAAATATTAACAGCTGTTTCATTAAAAAGTAGTGTAAATGTATGCATATGGTCGTGATGTAAACAAATCTAAAGAGGGGACTTTAAAGGCCTCTGTGGCAGAGCCCCAAGGGAATTTACCTTGTTTCTCTTTTGAGGGCTCACCTACAGACCAAGACCTTTCTTTAGAGACCCCTACCAAGTTTCTACGCCCAGCCGTTCTCTGAAATTAGCAGTGACAAAAACCCGTTTTCCTCCATAAGAATAACATGGGATGGGAATTTAAAGGCCACTGGGGCAAAGCCCCAAGGGAATTTACCACGTTTCTCTTTTGATGGCTCATCTACAGACCAAGACCTTTTTTTAGAGACCCCTACCGAGTTTCTACGCCCAGCCGTTCTCTCAAATTAGCTGTCACAAAGAAAAACAGTTTCAAATTAATATATAGATTCCCCCATGATAAGCTTATGGGAGAAAATCCAACTTTGATGTCCTGTGGGGCAAAGCCCGAGGATTTTTATTACAGGAATTGGTGAAAGGAGGCGTCTACACAAAAAATACTTTATTTTGTAAAAATCCTTCCATTATTAACGGAGGAGTAGTGTTTCGTAGAAATCCCATTCACATATTACATATAAGAATTAAAGAACTTTTTACTGTCAAAAGTAAAGTGTATAGTTTATAAAACTGTTGATTTAAATCTCTCTTACTATCGGATGAACCCAATATTTAACTTGTCTTCTTTTTTTCTTTGATCTAATTAGAAGAACACAAACACAGGTTAATTCAACAAAGTCCATTTTAGGATAGCTTAAACGCACTCAAAAAAATCCATTTCTCGACTAGAAAATTCCCATGTGTGCGCCTAGACAAAAATCAAGGGCGATTTATTTTTGGCTGATTTTTTAATCGGCCGATCGAAAAATCAACCGTGCGCGCCACTGCGCCAGGCCTAAGAGGAATAACAACCGCTTAAAATACACTAACTGTATTTTTTTATGTTGATCAGAAAAAAAAAATCTAGGGTTAAGTTTAGTTAATGGAATACCTTTACTTTACGCTAATTAATTGTGTTAAGCCTTTAAAAAATGGAGTATAAGCTTAAAAATATAAACTGGGTAGGGATGCTAATTTAGCGGTTTTGACTAAGAACTCTCAACACACCTTTATTTGCCTTTTCATATTTGACGAAGACAATTTCCAAAATTTCAATCAGGAAAGCCTTTTTTATCACCATTAACCACAAGACCAAAGTTACCTAATAAACCAGTATTTATTCACAAACAATTATATGTTTGCTGTCTTAAGCAGAATAATTAAACCTATGGAGTTATTCACATTATTTATTGAAAATAATTATTTATTGAAAAGCACACAAAGACAATCAACAAGCGGGTTTTTTACACAAAAGATATGGTGTACAGGGATATCATTCTATTCTGACACATAAATAATATATTTCTGAGTGTGTTTAAATATTAGAATAGCTAATTTGTTTTACATTATTGAGCTTTTTAGGGACTTATGTCCCTACAGGCCACTAGTATATATATATATATATATATATATATATATACTAGCAGGGTACCCGTCCTTCATACGGGTTTGGCATATAAGTATAAAATACTTATTATTGCAGTTACTGTATACTCAAGATTTGCGTTTGCAATGGGAGAGCAGGGCACATTTTGATAAAATGTTCTTCTTTAAATTTACTGTATAGCCTACTATAATATTACACATATACCATAGCTATAATGTTCTACAGTACCATTTCACCTAAACAATAGAGAAAAAAACTATAAAAAAGTTAACAAAATATTACAAATAATTCATGAAATTTAACACATTTTTATAAACAATCCTACTTTGGCAGTTCTCATTGCATATCATAGTTTTTTGTTGCTGTTTAGTTCAAATTATCTGTTTTCATAAATGAAAAAAATATAGTGCTGCACCCTGTTAGTAAATCTTATAACTTTTAACGTTTTTGCATTTCATAGAACCAACTTTTTTGTCGAAACAGCTGATTAAATCGTTAAATTCCCTTTAAATATGAATACTCATAAGGTTAACATGGGGAACTAAAGAGCCACTGGGGTGGAGCCCGAAAGGATTTTTGAGATAAGAATATGCCTATATGTTAATCGGGAATATGAGTTATCAGCATACAAAATTTCAGCCCAATCCGTACAGTAGTTTATGCGTGATTGAACTCCAAACAAACACACAAACTTTCACATTTAGGCCTATAATATTATTAAGATATACAGGGTGCGGCAAAAGTCAGTATACCGAAAAAGCAGTTAAACTGTAGGTAGCATTAAACATAACTATAAAAGTATAATTTTAATATACCTGTTAGAGAAGCTGCTCAAAGTGACCACCATCATTGTCTATACACTTGTAGCACCTTTTCAACACTGACTTACAGATTTTGTTGCATAGTTGTGGTGTGAATAAAACATCAAAATGTTTTGTTATTAATTCTTTTAAATGTTCTAAACATTGAGGTTTCTCCGAAAACACATGTTCTTTTAACAAACCCCACATACTGAAATCGCACGGAGTTAGATCTGGGGACCTAGCAGGCCACTCAATAGTTCCTCTACGTCCTATTCATTCATCGAAAGTTATCATTTAAAAATGCTCGAACATTTATTCCATAGTGTGGAGGTGCTCCGTCTTGCTGGCAAATAATCGAACGACGACGCAACTGTTCAAAAGTGGGACTGTTTTCCAACTCTAAGAACACATCTAACATCCTTATAATCACGATCGAATTTCCACCAATTTTTAAAAGAAAAACTCGTTGCTCTAAAGTTAGTTTACGATTCATGATTAAAAACACCAATAATAGAAGTTAATATTACAAGCACTACACTCACCAACTTAACTTCACTGTCACTAGTGGCATACTAACAAAACAAACATTCGTCGATAAAGAATAAACAAAGACAAAATCAACCACGACTAGACGTCAGATTAGATAAGGAATAACACTGAGATAATAATAGCGCGAGAGATAAACAATGACGCTCACCGGCCTGCAGCGGTATACTGACTTTTGCCGCACCCGGTATTATAAATTTGAACGAATGGTGTTTTTGGCCTCTGGGGACATCAAAATGAAAAAGTAAATCGGTCCCGGGCCTAGGTCTTATCATGAGACCTACGATAATAGCTACTTCCCTATAGGGAAATTCGCTAATACACGGTAAGTGATAGTATGCAATGGAAGTTGGTGTAGCTACTGTAGTGCTGTGTGCAGTGTGTGTGAGTTGACCGCCGATCTCACTTCAAGGCTTTCCAAATCAACACAATCGCTGTTGTATTGTAAAATTATCGGGTTTAAAATGCATATTGTATAGGCCTATAATCGGATGAAAGAAATAGGTTGTCACGTGATATTAGTTTACAAGATGATTTCCTCTATAAAAACTACCATAATGTTTCTTTATGCGTGTAAACTAGCTGTTCTGAATTATATTCAGTTTTAATCAACTACTTGATTACCGTACGTAGGACGGGCCAACAGCTAGTAATAATGATAATAACAATAGTAATAATTTATTAAGAAGGTTACCAATGAACAGAGCAATGAAAAAAAAAACTATTTCAATTAATGTAAACAAAACTGTCTGAGCTACCAGATGCAGGGATATCAAAATGAAATGTTTGATTTGTCTCATCGCTTTTTTAGTCAGATAAAACCTCACAATTATTTTTATGAAAACTCTGTAATTTTTTTAACTTTGCCACACAGTTTTTCTGCTTTTCCGGCTGAATCTGAACATAGTCTGGTACAAATTCATTCAGATTAGCAGGACTCTGGTGTACACAGCAATTAAATTCATGAAAATAACTTGAAAAAGGAAACAAATAATTACCTGGTATTAGTTGGACATACAACAATGTCACAAGTCTTTGCTGTCGATACAGTTTGACATCAAGTTATTGCTAACCAGTTTTCCAGGTCTCGCCCAAGTATACACATATCCATCTTGACAGGCAGCCACAAAACAATCTTCTCTGAACACAAGTGCTGTTAGACGTTCATGTGCTATCTTTTTACAAACTAAAGGTTCAAGTAAAGGACACTCATCAAATCGAGGACAAGCACTTGTTCCAATAAGTCTCATAGGGTCATCAGCAGAAGTATGAGGTGTAGGAGTCAATCCAGAATTCCTGGAAGAATTGCGTTTTTGATTACTACTACTATCTTTTCGGTCACCGAACCCACCCAAACCTCCAACTAGTCTTTGTGTGAAAGAGGGAGGTGGACTGTGAGAATTACTTTCTTGGAGGTTTTCTTTATCTTTGTTGTGAATGGAATTAGTCTGTAAGTTATTGCATTTGCCTCCTAAACTACTTCCACCTGCTGAGCCATTTCCTGTGACAGAAAAGCCGGTGTTATGATGTCTGGTTCTCGGACATATTGGTTGTCGCAAAACATCTTCTGTAATATCCCACAAACAAAGTTGTGTGTCTTGGCCTACTGATCCCAACCGGTAACAGATGGGGGATTCTAACCTGTTACATTCAGAGGATGTAGAAATTCTTTTATTACACTCGTGACTAAATTCGTCATCTGATCCACAAATGGCATCACTTGCATCATGTCCTAGGGAAGTAGTAAATGGGTCAAAAGCAACAACACTGACCCAACTGTGATGACCTTGACCTCTTGCAACAACTCTTTTTTCAAAAAAACTCCAAACAGTAACTAAATCATCTTCACCCCCGACAACAACATACTTGCCATCTGGGGACCAACACACACATAAAAATCCTCCAAAATAACTTCTCGCAGCACCGACCAGTTCCATTGTATCGTAGTGAAATACTCTGAGAAAACCATCCTGTGAAACTACAGCTAGATATTGCCCGCACGGTGAGAACGCAAACTCGTTAATACTACAACCTTCTGCCCCGATAACCCACCTATAAAGGGGGTTGCGAGACACCTTGGTTTTGCAAGTATGGATTGAATAGCCATCTCCTTGTTTAAATGTCTGGTAGTGTGGTTGTGACGTTCCACATACCATCTCTTCATTGTACAAGTAAAGTTGTCCACTTGCATGAGATACTAGGAACAGATTTGGGGATCCTGGCACCCACTTGATACAAGTCACTTTTGTCTTGTCTATAAGTCTCTGTAACAAGAAAAAAGTCAAATTCAACAATGAAAATTTATTACTTTGATCACATCAAGAACTAGCAAGAAATATGTTTGTGGTAAAATTCATTAACATATATACGGTAAATGATTTGAAATTACGTGTTATTTTTTGCACATTATATTTTTATGCTCGGAAGCTTTGTATAATTAAATTGTATTTTTAGCTTGAGTATTGTTTCTATGGACTATGATTTAAAATTTATTTACATTGGAGAATAAACCTAGTTTAGATTTTAGAACATACTTCTTCATTGAACAGCTTGTTGATCTCTTTCTTGATGGGATCTATGACTTGAACCTGTCCGGTTGAAAATCCCACCAGAAGGGACACTGTTTCTGGTGTCATTGTTACTGTATTGAAGTCATGGCATGTTGGACTTGTGCCTTTGTACATCTTTTTGTCAACAGGTTTGGTCAAATCAGCAGCCTGAAAAGTTAAGATTTACAATAAGTCCTTCATTTTCCATAAATCATTTAATTCTTACTTTCTAATGATAGCAGAGGGTATAATTTAGGACACATCTCTGAATAAATAGGAAAGCCTATAAAATAGCTAATAAAAAATAGAAAATAGCTAAGCCTATATAATAAAATTCATCTTTCAACACTATTTGATACATTTAAAAGTACAGTAGGACTATACCGTACATATAGCTTTTGGTAAACAGATAATAAATAACTGTATATACCCTTAGAACATAAAAATGCCGAATTTTCATTACCTAATAAAATTAATAAAGCCATAAGAAAAACGTTCATCCGCTCAAATGTAATAATCAGTTATAGAACTAAAAATAGTGCTTTTCAAATCATCAATAACAAAATTTCAAAAGAAAATAAAGCTACCCAAAATAAAGACAATGTAAGAAAATCAGGTAGCTTATTTATGAAATCAAATGTTCTGATTGTGATAAATCCTACATTGGGCAAACAAGTCGAAGTTTTGAAAAAAGATTCAAAGAACATATTCAAGCTTTAAGATCAGGAAATCACACAATGATGAAATCTAATTTTGCAGAACATTTTATACAAACAGATCATGAATACATAAGCATACACGGAAATTTTAAAATCCTTGAATATGAAAAAGACAAATCAAAATCACATGTTAAAGAAGATTTTTACGTAAGACTAAATTACTTACGTATTCCCGTCACAGCTCAATAAAATATGTCAATTCAGGACATGTTTCGGTGTTAAAACACCATCGTCAGCTTCAGGTAAATATGTAGAGTTGAACAGTAGGTAGTTAACATCGTCAGAAGATAAACACAGTACGAACACGAATAAATACACAAAACAATTAAACATTTAAGAAACAGGCCTGTTCTAACAAAAGATGACCGACCACAGAGGTAGCAAGGGACAGAGTCGGCCACAGTCTATCCCTTGCTACTTGTGCGTTTAACACCAAAACATGTCCTGAATTGACATATTTTATTGAGCTGTGACGGGAATACGTAAGTAATTTAGTCTTACATTATGTCCAACAGCTCAGGGGCTACACACATGGATTTTAAGACACAATGAACATCAACAAATCCAATCCAATATTTGAAAAAACTTGCAGTTAAAATAAGAGAGAAAGTTTATTTATTATCTTATCTATATATATAAAAGGCAAAGCCCTCACTGACACACTCACTCACTCACTCATCACTAATTCCCCCACTTCCCATTTACCTAGGAGGCTGAAATTTGGTACACCGATTCTTTAGGCATTAAATAGGAAAACTAAGTTGTTTTTATTCTGATCGGACTCTCGGGCTCCGCCCCAGTGGCTCTGGAGTTTCCCATGTTAACCTTATGATTTTTCATATTTAAAAGGAATTAATGAATCTTATCAGCTGTTTCAATTAAACAAGTTGGTTCTGTTCTATGATGTTCAATAGCTTTAAAGTTACAAGGATTGCCAACAGGGTGCAGCACTATTATTATTTTTTTAATTTATGACAACAGCTAATTTGCAACCAAAAGGTGAGTGAGCGTAGCAAACGAACTTCAACCTGGAGGCGAGTTAGCATAGCGAACGAGCTAACCTGAAGGCAAGTGAGCGCAGCGAACGAGCTCCAACCTAAAGGTGAGTGAGCATAGCGAACGCACTTCAACCAGGACGTGATTGAGCCATGCGAACGAGCTCATCTTGAAAATTAAGAAGTTAAACGGGGCAAAGCCCGCGGGTACAGCTAGTATAGGCCTATAGTATAGAAACCAATTAAAACAGAAGAAATCTAAAGTCATCAAAAATCATATGATTTTATTTATTTATTTAGATAAAATGTTTATTGTATTTGTTAGATATATTCCTAAAAACAACATGACTATGGCATAATTGTCGATACTAGTGGTTGTTTAATAAAATGATTTTCAAATACCGTAAGTTAGGCATAGTACTTAGTTTTTAATAGTGCATTTTTGTAGCCTATACATACCGGTATATACTTGCAACAATTTGAAAATAATGTGATATTTTTGAAAGTAGTGTGTTTTTAGGGTTCAGTAGCCTATTTCTGGGAAGGTTATTATTGTAAAATGTCACTTTTCAAAAAGGGTGCATGACCTACAATCGTGCCAAATTTCAGATCTTCAGCTAATCTAGAAGTGGGTAACCGTGATTTAGACCGATGCACCTGTAATAATAACATTGATTTCTGATGATGTTGTTATTGTAAAATGTCATATTTCAAAAAGGGCGCAAGACCTTCAATCGTGCCAAATTTCAGATCTCCAGTTAATCTAGAAATGAATAGGCCTAAACATGAAAAAACGTGATTTATAATGATGCACCTGTAAGAATTACATTGGGTGGGGGGGGGGAATCTATATTTTGGGGGGGGGGATTATTGTAAAGTGGCGGTTTTCGAAAAGGGCGCAAGACTTACAATCGTTAGATCCCCAGCTAATCTAGAAGTGGGTAAACGTGACTAAAGCTGATGCACCTGTGGTGGCCATAGGGTAGATATATGGGGGGAAATCAATTTTGAAGGGGGGATTTTTATATGGTACCTTTTATATTCATACCATTATGGTTAGCCCTAATACAATAAACTGTGTATAGTTTCAAGGTACTTTTCTGTTAAAGGGAACATTCATTACTATCGATGATTTCTTTTCGATATAACAGTAGAGAGTCAAAACTGAACCAATTGGGACCGTAGGTAGTTCAGATTAGGTAGCCTACCGATTTGTTTGGATTTTCAAACATAGCCTAGAAATGCCTAATATAGACACATAATTAGGCCTACAGTATTAAAAATGCAGTTCTAGGATACCTACAGTGAATGAAATGAAAACAATGATTTTTGTAGGCTACTAAAGTATTTTCGTTAGGCTACATTACTGTAATTTGTTTCTTGAAAAATATGTAGGTACATAGGAAAACGAACAATGTAAATATTGAATATGTACGTACATGTATATAGTGAACAATCCCGTTCACTCATTTCCCTGCCGAGCGTCCACTGTTTGGCCCACGAAATTGTAAAACACCTGTTGTCTCTGGGCTAATTCAATACTTTAAAACTCTCAGGGGAGGTTCGGATTTTTAACGTTCAAATTTTCGACTCTCTACTGCATCGATATTTTTGTTTTCCATTGTGATCCATATTCATTCTGTTTCAATATATTCAAACGCATTTAAATTACGAATTGAGAACTTCCTATATGGATTAAGAAATGAAACTATTTTAAACTAACCTAACATAACTAACCAAACTTGCTGTAGGCCAAGTTACCATTTCAAAATTATGTTTAATAACGTAGAAGGCGTGTGGGGACTATCAAACGGAATTTTGAAATTTTACATCACGTTTGGTTAAGTTAGTTAGGTTAGTATGGAACAGTTTGATTTCAATAAAATATTTTTTATGTTTGTTGATGCTGAACAATATTTATTTATCGTAACTTAGTTGTCAAATGATATGTTTCTATTCGTCAATAATTTATCGATTTATCAGATCAGAAAATAAAATATTAATATTTTAATATTCCAATACTATTGTGCCCATAGAATAGGGTAAAGAATCTGTTATAGGCTAATGATAGCCTAATAATAAAAATGTGTTTTGTTGTTTTTCGATGTCCGCCATTTTAAATTTTTTGGGAGGTTAAAATTTGAAAATGTTACTTTTGAAATTTTTCTGGATAATTTAGAGTGACGTTCCACACCCTCTTCAAATTTCAAGTCCCTAGCACGTTTCTAAACAATTCATACGAGCATACCAAAGTCTTTCAATTTCAATGTTATTCTCAATAAGAATAACATAACTTTAAGGCTCGTAAAAGTGGTAAAAACCTTTACATTTTGAGATTAAACAGTATTTTGTAGAAAACTTACATAATTCCTGACCATGAAAATTGTTACAAATCTTTTCTAGCTCTATCTAACTGTTTTCAAGCTATAAACTTAGCCTAGCTGTTTTTTAAAGAAACCGTGTTTTCTGGTTTTTAGATGTCCGCCATTTTGTAGTTTTGGGGGGTTAAAATTTGAAAATAAGGATTTTGCATATTCCACCGTAAATTTAAGATACCATAAGTTACTATATAATAGGTACTACAAGTCTCTAGCACATCTCTAAATGGATAAAATCCCCATCCCAAAATCAGAATTTTTTGATGTTATTTCACATACGAATAACATTGGTGGGGGGGAATTCTATAATAAGGGGGAGTTAAAATTTGAAAATGCGACATTTGGGAATTTTACCGGTGGTTAGGGCCCAAAACCTACAAGCATGCCAAATTTCAACTCCCTAGCACCTCTGGAAGTGCTCAAACATTTGTATCGCCCGTGAGTCAGTTACATATGCAAGCGTAGCCTATAGCATTTAGATATATATATAAATCCCACGATTACTAGAAAAATACCGGTATGGATCATAAACATAAAACAAAGTGACGTTGGCCCGAGTCCTATAGGCCTACTAATAGCATTGAACATATGTTTTGGAAGTTCCATTTAAGCAATGTTAAATAATGTTTATTTTGGGCCAAAAACTTCATTTGTTTATTTTTATGATCCATACCGGTATTTTTCTAGTAATCGTGATAAATCCCTATATAGGCTAGGCCCTGCATATTTATACAAAAATTTGAACGAATGGTGTTTTTGACCTCTGGGGACATGAGAATGAAAAAGTAAATCGGTCCCAGGCCTAAGTCTTACCGTGCCACCTACTATGTCTACCTAGCCTACTTCCCTATAGGGAAATTCAGGCTGCACTTTACTTTAGGTCCTACACTCATTCGAATAAAAATATCGATCGATATATCGATTGTTTCATTCGATATATCGATTGGTTAGTTAGGTAAGGTTAACCTAACCTAACTAACCAAATGATATATCGAATGAAACAATCGAACAATCAATATTTTCATTCGAATGAGTGTAGGACCTAAAGTAAAGTGCAGCCGAAATTCACTAAAAATAAACATAACAAAATACCTAGCTTACAAAATCTAGTCATAGGAGGATCGGTAGGCCTACTAACTTCTAAAAAAAAAATCTAGGCCTAGTCTTAAGCCATAGGATTGGGCTTAGCCTAAATTTAGTGGCCATAGGTAGTTTCAAACAAAAACATAACTCTGTCAGCTCAGCTCCACTATATAGCTACGATATTGTATGAAGATTACCTTTTTGACACCTTTGTAAATAAAGACGTACAGCTCTCTACCAATATTAAAACATATTCTGTCACCATTGCCACTAGGGTCCGGCAAGTTGACGAATGACACTCGCACAGATGTGCTTCCTTGCATGTTAGTGTATCCAACACGATTAGGTCTTGAATATTCTGATAACGTTATTAATCGATAAATGCCTTCTCTAGTAACAAATTGAGTCTTTAACTCTTCTTTCCCACCAGTATCAACATTCACCGCCATTTTAAACGATACTTTAAACTAATAAAAATACAGTACTATCACACTATTATAATACCCCTAGCAGAAAAAGTTCTCACGAAACAGCACTAACACTAACAGCAGCAGACTGTTACTGTTGTTGAGTGTTGTTTAGTATTTCATTGGCAGTAGTGGCTATTCGCACGTCAGACGTGCGCCGCTACCACGCACGTCTGCTCCAAATGACGTCACATTACGTTCCTAATCTAGTAACCGTTATAGCTGTTTGGGAACAGGTTGCACACAAAGTCACAAAGATATCCTAGTATTAGGAACGTTAACGGTAGTCGGTAGTAGTACCTCCATCGCTCCATCCATAGCCGATCCGGGATGGGGTGATGGGGATGGGATCAACTTCGTAAAAAGAAAGGTAAAAGAGTTGAACAGAGCCAAAGAGGTTATAAGCCACCAAAAATATAGGTGCTGGCCAATAATAAGATGTGTATTAGAAATACAAATTAGAAGATTCAATATAGGAATCGTAAAAAACTTAAGCCTATGCCTGATTAGCCTATTTTTCCTTTACCAATCAAAGACTACTGCGTATAACGAAACGGCACACGGAAGATTTCTCAGGTGCCGTTTGACGTCACTAACTGCTGACGTCACTTTGAGGGAACACCAATACCGCAACGATACGGTTTTGAGCCATCGGCCTCGGTGGTGCAGTGGATAGCGTTGCGGGCTGATAATCCGAATGTTCCGGGTTCGAATCCCGCCGGCGGCACTAACTTTTTGTCGACAATTTTTTCATATCAGCAAGTTTGGTTAGGTTATGACAGTTTAATTTTATAATAAAAAAATTATAAAATTGAATTTTATGCAATTAGAATTTTATTTTATGAACAAAACTATTTTTTAGATTAGTAAACCTTTACTAGATTTCTCCATTATCAGCACGTTTGGTTAGGTTATGTTAGTTTAATTTAATAATAGAAAATTATAAAATTGTCTGTTTCTTCAGACGCAGCAGTTAGTGACGTCAGCAGTTAGTGACGTCAAACGGCACCTGAGAAATCTTCCGTGTGCCCCACCGCTGTCTATAAAAGGTAGGGCCTAATATTGGTAGGCCTATGTTGGCCTAGATAGCCCAGAAGTAGGCTAGGCATTAGGATAAAATATTAATGAATCACCAGGCTGTCATCGGCTTAAAGCTTAACATTTTACAGTGTAGGCTTACACGTAAAATCTTAATTGGCCTACTTAAAATCTTATTTTTGATTTGGCCGCTTTCCCGACGTTGTACTTTTCCTTGTACCACTGTGTATGCATCTGTAAGTCAATTGATAATGTTTCAAATTATAATTTTTTTACTTTTAACCCCTCTTTCTGGCTCCATCGATTGTTCTTGAACGTTTCATGGTTTCTTAAAAGTAACTGAAACTGAACATTCTGAAAGTTCCCGTTCCCGTTGCATTATTTTGTAATACCGTCTCTGAGCACGGACGGTATGGTTATCTTGAGTGTGGGGGGTTCTTCCCGGCACCTCAATTGAGTCAAGGGTGTCGCCACCTCTGGTGGATAGGTTCATCCGTGTGGGTCCCACTTCTATACCTGCCTCCTTTTGGGAAACCCTGATGGCCTGGCAGTTATGTTGGGTCTGACGGGCAAACGAAGTAGATCGGGTGCTGGGTCCGAGCCCGCCAGTGGTATCTGGGGATCTATCGCTCTGGTTATCTCTGGTTTCCTAGCAATGGGTAAGGCCTCGATCGGGTAGTGGTGTAAATGGGAGGTTGGGGTTCCCCCCGTCAGCGTGCTGACGGTCCCCTTCCTTCTGGCTATGATGGCGGGTTCTGCCTGTCAGGGATTAGATAGGTCCCGAGTGTTGCTTGCACTAAATGCGTCGGGGCGCTCCATTATGGTCCTCTAGGGCTTGTACCTGGTGGAACCCAGGTGGAGTGACGCTTAAACAAGCAGCCGGAATCCCTGGTTAGGATTGAGGGGCAACCCTCTTTCCGAAGGGTCTGCTTCGGCAGCCGGCGAGCCTGATGACCTTAAGTCATCCGCCCATGATGTGCTAAAGGTTGATGCGTAAGCTTCGGCCTACATCATGGGGCCCGGGTATGTCCTCAAGGATAGGTACCGGGTACGCAGTCAGGGGGCTTCGGCGCTCATGACAAAGTAATAATAAATAAAAAAAAAGTAAATAAATAATAAAAAATACTGGAACTGTAACAGAAAACTGGAACGGGAACGGGCTGTGGAGCATTTTGACGTGCGAATAGTCACTTCGTATTTCATTAGGCGACCCTGATTGGTGATAACGCCTATTGAATCTCGTCGTCGCCTTGCATACACTTAAATTTGTCCTTACTGTATTAAGAACAACTAGGGTATTTACATCTGGTTCTAAAACAAATACTCCCGCCGCCACAGCAAACCTGCAGATTAAGCGAATTTCCATTTGCCTGATTGGATTTACACTAAAATATACCATCACATTTATTCCCTATTTAAATAGAATTAGTTTACCAAGTACTTAGGTTTGCTGCAACAGGGAGGGTAAAAAAGTGTTTTTGTTGTAAAATTTTAATAGTTTAGAAAATAAAAAAATAATGTATTTTCCAAATTCCATCAAAATATATTCATTAAAAAGCAAACTACAACAGTTGATTTATTCCCCATAAGAATAACATGGGAATTTTAAATTTACAATTTTTTAGAATTTTCTCTGTAACCATTAGGCGAACAATAACGCTTCAATACACAAAATTATTTGTTTTTTAAGCTCTACAAGATGGTTTGGAAAGAAATTGTGAAAATTTGTGTTTTTATGGTCGAAAATGGGAAAAACTTTTTTTACCCCATAAAACCCTCCATAAACCCCCGTTCCCCCATAGTCCGATCATGCTGGTTCGCGAACTCGTTCGAATAAATGTAGGTTTTCACCTTTATACCAAATTTCATCAAGATCGGGTCATTTTTGCTCGAGTTATCGTGCTAACGGACATATATATATATATATATATATGTGTGTGAATTTGAACGGATGGTGTTTTTGGCCTCTAGGGACCTCAACACGAAAAAGTAAATTGGTCCCGGGTCCAGGTCTTACCATGAGTACTACGGTAATTAATAGCTTATTCCCTATATGGGAAATTCGCTAAAAACAAGAGAGTTCTACAACATTTAATATTTGTAGTATTTGGACAAAAATAAAAAGGAATCCGTTTATTTTTATTTTTTAAATTGAAAATTTAATCTTTTTATAGGAAAAAATTGTGAATTAAGAAAATTTTACAATTAGTTAGATTTTAATGATCAAATTCACCAGCACTTGCAAGTAGTAATTCCTTTTTAGCGAATGCCCCATTATAGGGAATAAGCTTATCTTTTACCGTAGGTCACATGGTAAGACCTGGACCCGGGACCGATTTACTATTTCGTTTTGATGTCTCCAGAGGCAAAAAACACAATCTGTTCAAATTAATATATATAAATAATCGAAAACATTATAAAAACATTAGTATACCCTTTTACATTTATTTTAATTAACAAACGACATGTTTCGACATTCATAGTCATTTTTACATTTAAATAAAATATAAACATGACTATGACCTTAAGTGTTTAAACATATTGCTTGTTAATTAAAATGAATTTAAAATTAACATTTTAATTTAATTAACAAACGACATGTTTCAACACTAAGTCATAGTCATGATTACATTTTAATAAAATTTATACATGACTATGACCTTAGTGTTTAAACATGTCGTTTGTTAATTAAAATGAATTTAAAAGTGTACTAATGTTTTTATAATGTTTTCGATTATTTATATAGTAGTAGCCCTAATCACAATCATACTTATAATATATATGTATATGTCCGTTAGCACGATAACTCGAGCAAAATTCGATTTTGATGAAATTTGGTATAAACGTGTAGATCTACATTTATTCGAACGAGTTCGCGAACCAGCATGATCGGACTATCACTATGGGAACAGGGGTTTATGGGGGTTTTATCATCGATCTCTGCGCACTGTGTGCTGGGTTTTTGATCTGGCCGCTCTGTGTTCCCTCCACCACCTAACGTCTGAGCCGTCTTTTTCTCATTTCTCTTTTACTCATTACGTCTTATTATGGCATTTCCGTGTTTGCGCTCGCAAAATACGCTAAACAGGGTGTTCAACCACGGCCACCTCTAACTACAGGCCGCGGCCTGGTAGATTGGCAATGTCGCAAGTGGTGTTGTCTAGCGCCAGACGTCCCATAAGATAACATGGCAGACAGGTGACACCAGCTCATTATTTCGCGTATTATTCATTTAAATGAAAATTTATGAACATAAATTTATTGAAATATTGAAAATAAAACATATAGAATTTAAGACAAAAACAATATTTAAATAGAAAATAAATTTTTGTGATTTTAAACTGGAGTCAATATTGTCATAGTCCAGTAACCAAGCTTTCGTATAAATACCATTAGCTGCTGCCAAACTAAACAGCTGTTACAACACCACTTGCGACGTTGCCAATTCGAAGGCCGTGGCCTGTAGTTAAAGGCAGCCGTGGTACTCAAGGAGGCCACCATAGCGTTGGGATTTCGGAAACGGTAAGAATTAAAGAAAACTTTAAATGGGGGACATTATTCCTTCATTTTTTTCTGGCAGTTAAAAATAGGATTTCATTTTTTCTAAATTCAGCCGCCATTTATTAAAATGGTGGCCAACTTTGAAATTTCTTATAAAACACCATATATTTTATCATGTTTTCGGATAGAACATGCAATTTAAAAACATTTTTAATCGTGGCATTTTTTCGATAAACCCACTCGTTTAGGAGTTACAGCCTATCGAAAAATGACTTCCGGTGTACATTTTACATCATGTAGCTTCTAAACAAGTAGGTTTATAGCGAAAATGCGAAGAGTAAATAAGTCAAATAAGTCTTAATATTACCTCCACATTCCAAAAAGACCATAAAATTCGTTTAAAATATTAATTCTATTATTTCAAAAATGGCCGCCATTTTACAAAATGGCGGCAAACTTGAAAAGAAGAAAACTGAGTATTTTATGTTCTTTATGGTACTACGATTCCGGGAAATCCACACCCCAACCTGTACATCCACCA